TGCAACGCAGTAAACACGGTGTGGACCGTGGATCCGAGGCGATCGTCGATGAGACTGACGAGGTGGAGATGCGATCAGGATGGCTGACGTCGACGCTGGTGACGAGGCGGTGAGGCGACACACGCGACACAAGCATGTGGATGATGTGTTGAGTCGGAAGGGCAGGATGACACTCAGTGGCGACGGTAACTGCGGCTGAAACTGTCAAACTGCCACAAGTTGCAGAGTAAGTGGGGACCCGATGTGAAGTGACAAAGCACTTAAGACGACTTCAGTGGTCAGTGGAGTTGGACTGTAGTGCAAGCGGCTGGAGAGTACGTGAGAGCGGATGAAGGACATGCAGTTGGTCGGCAGCACTATCTTGCACCTCGCTAGTTAACATTGCATTCAAGCCCAGGACCGGAGAGTAGAGAGGTGACAGAGAAGACGATCGTTATTTGGCGTCGGAGGCATCTTTGAGTGCGGATGAGTGAGTGGTTGACAGACGTCTGATAACAGTGCCCAATGCAATAGTGATGAGATTGATTCACACCATCAGGTGAGTAACCACGTTTGATTCAAGCGGAATCGCTGACAGTCCACCGGAGTCACACATCATCACGCCTGAACTGCGTCGTTTGAATAGGCGGACCCCTTCAAACAGGCGTGATCACAAAGTGTACGTTTGTTAGCTTGAGGTCTCCATGACAATCCCAGCATTTGGAAGATCACTGAAAGGACTTATTTAGCGGGAAGATGACCGTTTGCCAGACAGCTTAACGAGGTTGTGGGATGCCGTGTGTGTTTCTTGACTGAATTAGTAAAAGTACAAACATCTGAATGGCCAAATGTGTAGAGCGGGTAGTGGTGGAACATGCAGAGGTTTGAAGGCGCATGCGGTCCAGCATTGCTGACGGCCCACCTTGAACGAATTACCACAATCCAAATGATTCGTAACATCAAAATTTCAATGGTACAGAGGAGTGGTAACGTGTTTGTACACTGTTACGTTTGCCCGTAACAAAGAGAAATCCACTCAAATAATGGTACCAGATCCATTGTTGACGCGAGCACCAACCTTCCCTCGCTAATACAAGAACAAGACCAGAGCTCGTTTAGAGAGCTTTAATCACGTCAGCTACGTGCGGTGTGGGTTGTCAAAAGTGAAACTAATTCAAGTCAAGGTTGACCTTGACCTCATAAAAAGCGTACTAAAACACATGCTAGTGAATTGGTATAAATTGTGTCAAAAACCAATGACGAGCAATCGTGGGGAATCGTGGATCCCCAACACACACAATTCACTTTATCTTTCAAGAAAGTAGGGCACTTAGTCGGGAAGCTGTAAGGTCGGAGTGGCGAGCGTCTCACGAAGAATTAATGGCCATTAGAGTGTTGCTTTTCAAAGACACCCAAATTCACTTTGCTCAAAGGGGTTGCCGACGCCAACCTAGTGAGAATTGTCTATTTATAACAATGAAATCCCCATCGTTTAATTTCAAGCTAATTAAGTCTGATAAAACATTCTAGGGTCCAGCAGAATTAGATCATTAGCCGTGGTGTAATTGAGTGTCATTGTGATTTCCTGATGATTTGCAGTTCCAGTGTCGAAACTTTCAAAATGGCCTCTTCCAGCACTCAGTAAAGTCCCTCAAAGTACAGACTATGTCCAACTTATTGATTTTTTGGGAAATTGGAGAGGACTCGGAAAGACTGGTCACACTTGACGTCCATTTTTTTGGTGAAATCCAGTTTTAAAATAGGACAAATTTACGATTAATTGCATTAAACTACAATTGCGCTCATGTGGATATCGTCCCTCCTTAAAGTACATGGAAGTCCGCAACAAAAAGTCAATAATTCAAGTCAAAGCCAAACCATTTTAACCAAAGGACTGAGTGCTTAAAAATATTATTACCGCTAAATGACCGCCTTTCGTGACATTAAGAATTTAATCGCCACTTCATTTCGCAAATATTTAAAATGGCGGATTAAAAGAGGACAAATTTAACGACCAATGTCTTATTGCTAGCCATTATTTGCTAAAAGAGGTACAACACTGTTCAAGTCCGAAGTTTGTGGTTTTTTGTGCATTTGTAATTTTCAAATCAATAATTAGGGTTCGACAATACCGGATTTGACCCAACCGCACGCAAAATGTTGGTGTTTTAAACAAGAGTAAAAAAAATATTGATTTGTAATTCGCAATTATTGAATGTTTGCGGGTTGGAATTGCATCTACATTCGTCTCAGAGTTAGTCAGAAATGCTCTTCCACGAAATTGGTCTTGATAACTTGAACGTTTGAATGCTGTTAACAGCACCTCCGAAGGATTGCCGCCCGATTAAGGGGCCCGCATGGAATCCAACTCACCTGACAGTAACCACGATGAAATCGAAGGTGAACTTTCAGCACCTAATCGCATTGAGATACAATTTATCTGATTACAGAACCATTCAAAACACTTGGGACGTACATTGATCACAATGAATGATGCCAGAAATCCAGGGGCTATGCATGCCGAGAGTGAATGAAGGTGAGTTCAATCGATAATCTTGACTTCACGCGGCGATGTTCGATATTTGAGATCGATATCTTGCGTTACTGTTGCAACCCCTGTCTAATTACGCTAGATATCAGGCCTCTTATTCGCTTACAATCATACTTTTGAGGCGTAATTCAATTATGAAATAAAAAATAGATATTTTCTGAAAGAAATTGAACACAAAGTAATAAGTTTGTTGCCATTTCGACGACCTTTTTACTTCGCCCTGTGGTGTACATCTCTTTGATCAAATCGTCACATCGTGTGCCGCCCCAATGCACTTTTACCGAGCCAAGACGTGAATATTCCTCTACGGTTCGCGATTCACTAAAGAGTATACTTTTGCGTGCACTTGTAGACGACTTGCAGACCGAAATTTCGAAGATGCTATCAGGGGAAGAGCAGAATCAGAGGTGATTTCGGAGGACATAAAGTCACCCCACGACAACACGAAAGATGCGAGGAAGATAAAGGCGTTGAAAAGTTGTTAATAGCAGTGACAGTTATCGTACGGAAGAGATCACGCTCTCCTCACAGATGTCTAAGTACTAACCATGTTATATTGCCATACTTTGATCTTGGTTTGCTTGTGTTGCGTGCTATTTCGATTTCGCTTACCGCGTGAGCAGAGGTCTGTTGAGCACTCATTCGGTGAGGTACGTGGCTAGAGATGTGATTGAGAATGTGCCACTTAGAAATTGGTAGAAATTACTAGAGGAGATTACTGAGCTACACTTACAACTTAACTACAGAACGAGCGGTGTTCACGTGAAAAACTATTCGAAATTGTCCATAACAGATGTCACGTAATATCAGTTTTTTTCCAAAGCCGCATCAGTTTATCGATCCATCGATTTCCAATTATTGAACAACTCTTTTGTGTGCTTGAATTATTTCCTCAATGCTTGGATGGACCTGTTTCACTATTCGATTTCCGATTTCTTCATGAGATAAACCTAGTCTCGACGATTACTCCGTGCTCCGCGTGGATTTGAACCTGGAAGTAAGAAAGTTAGAAAGTTAGTTGGTAAAGGTACTTCATACTTTACTTTAATCATGATTTCTTATTTACTTTGTATTTGTCGGGCAAGAGTTGTATTTATTCAACAAACGTGTGGTTGTTATAATGTCTCTACGATAGTAACTAAGACAACACGCTTGCGTTGTTTTATCAAATTAAAATTTGATTGGCTGTCATCTCCCATGGAACTTGGCAATTTCTTGGAAAAGTCCTGATGGACGTTGACAGAAGCATTCGATGTGGTACAATGCGGTTGTTTGGTAAACCTCCCAGGAAACTCTCTCAACAGTTTCGTGCTTCCTTAACTGCGCACACCACCACCTCAGCGAATGCGTGATCAGAATTTGATCATTTATGAACGAAAACTCTCCGTTACGAGCCGTAGAGTATTAAATAGTTACTATCAATAAGATTTTAATGTCATGAAATAACATTAAGTGAAAGTACGCTCGACGTTGATTTGGAGCTGACACATAATATTTCACGAGTGTTCGATCAAGATGGTCTGGTCTAATCGATTTGCTCAGTGAAGTAGCCACTTACGCGCGCGCGGCCCCAATCGATAAGCTGCCGAGGTTTTAATTGGTTTATGGCTCGGCAGCCGATGAAAAATCAATACGCGAGGTGTCCTAGTAAACAGTGAATAGTAGTACTGCCTAAATCACTTTGTGCTCCATAAAGTATCTTATGTGCACCAAAATAACAATATCCAATTATGAATGTACAGAAAATTTTGCATTGTGAGTAAAATGTCTGTCGCCAGGTTGCCTGGATTCGAAATGCTTTGCATTCTGGAGTGTTATTTAAGTTAGTGCAAAGTTATGTTATATGGTTTCCCGTCTTCGACCCACAGAAGCACGGGTAAGTAAGTGTCACTAACAGCAGTTATTTTGATAACGTACCACTACTACAATCATGCGAATTAATCAACGATTTGGATGCCAAAAATGGCCCACATTTCCTAGACCATTAAAAATGTTTTTACTAAACTTATTTGAGTAAAGCGACAAATCTGAGTAGGCTACTTTCTATCGTAAAATACAGTAAATAAGATTACCATTAAGCAAAATTTACTCCCAGGACCCATTTTTACTTCCTGGATCATTAAAACTCTAAATAGTTCTAGTTTTCATAATAATAGCTCATACTGATCGTGAAAATCCCTGAAATTAGCCAAATTTTGCAAAATAAATTCATCCAAACACAGAATAATGGATTCGACAATCAAAATATTGGAATATGGAACAAGTATACTTAAATTCAGCATTTCATCAACGAAAATAAGTTAAAAAATCAGACATTGCTTAATTGAATCACACTTCAAGTTGACTGCTCCACATCTATTTGACATATAACGCGAACTAGTAGAAGATAAAACGATGCACGTTTGTTGATTGCAAAAGGTATCAACTACTTTATTCCGCTAAATATTTAAGTGCAACGAGGAATTCATCTAAGGTTGGAAAGGAAATGTAGCTCTACAATAAATGCACATTTTCCATTAAATTAATCAAATATATCCAATGCTATAGTTATGCCAACATAATTCTTATTCACCAAAATCATTCAACAATGAAGTGAAATTCCTTCGATTATTCCACAAAATTTGAATATCATTTAAGAAACGACAAAAACACATTTGAATTAATAGCGATTTGTACTTTTGAGGGTTCCATGAGCCAAGACATAGTTGTACAATCTTGGACGAATGGCCTTATCCATAACAACACAATTTTGAATCTCTGATGTACTTTTTAGCATTTCGAATGGCTCTTCATATGAAGAAACAGAATTTGATTTGATTAGTCTAACCTAATCCATAATCATTTATTAATTTTTGTGGCAGCACTGCGGTAAACTTTGTATTTTTTACAAATCTATTCAAAAGGTAATATAAAAAAATTTCCTGCAAAATATGTTGTGTAAAGTTGCAAAATATTTTTCATTCAAAAAACCACAGTTTTGACGTTTTATTTAACTGCACAAATTTTAAGCCTGTTCAAGGTCGAATGGTTCTATTGGTTTCTCGTGCCCTTTTTTCCTATGGGCTTCGCGTTTCCAGCTGTTATCTAGTGCCCGGTTATGGGAATTGATGAGTCCATATCGTATTTTCAAACCAAGGTTCAGTTTTTGCATTAATTAGCTAGCTAGTAGATTGGCAATTATGACAAGCAATTCTGGGAGAAAAGTATCGAACAACGGATTCTCCGTGTACGTCTCAATCCGTGCCCTACCTTTTCGTAATTTTAGAAGTGGGTTATAAGTAGCGGGGGGTGCATGGATGTGTTTTGGAAATTAGCGACCTCTTCTTTTAACTTCCTATTATTTTGGTTAGTCCTTTTATCCTGATCCCATTTCTGCAAAATTAGCAAAGTTATTTCTTTTACTATCTAGGGTCTGGAGACGAGACCCAAGAAGGAAAGCACTCTTAACACAAATCTTCTCGATGTCGATCTTATAAGAGGTTGGTATTTCGCTCTTCGTGTTTAACGCTGTCTCGCACTCATTAAATCAATGTTAATAGTTTTTTGCTCTCAAATAACATTTTCTAAACAATCTAAATGCATCATTTTAATACATTACATCTAAGGAACGGCTTTCGTAAAGGCGAAGCCGAAGCACGACTGGACTGCAGTGGTATGGCGCGGCATGAAGACGACTGCTTTCGCAACCATACACTGGGACTACTGGCGTCGTCACACCTCTCCCCGGATGGCTGCCTACATCATCTTCCACTTCGTTCTCCAACTTCTGCAAGCTGTTTGTTTCCTTCTTGTGGACCCTAAAAACGCCAAGGTGATTTTACCTCTTGCATTTTTGTTACTTTTCTATTCCGAAACTTCAAACACGTATATTTTTTTCAGGTTACACAGTCCATTTATGTTTCCTGCTTTAGTCTCTTGAAAATATGTCTCCAAAAGTACCCAATTTATGTTGGTTATTTATTATTATTATTATTATTAATGATTTTACCAGCATTTCAAACATATCCATGTGTTGACATTTCGGAATATTTTGCCAAAACCGCTTACCCACTGGTCCTTTACCCTATATTTCGGGTATAAAAGTATGAGTTCAGACTAAATAATAGGCAGTTTTGAAGTTCATGCTCCAAATCATTAATCAGAACCGTTCTGATCGGTTTTCTCCCAACCATTTTAGCAGACATAATTTGTCGGACACGCATGTAAAGCCCAAAATGTTATGCACTATCGTTACTATGTGCGGTTGTTTTTTTGAAGTCTGAGTACGCAACATGAAATATCGAAATATCTCTTTAACTGCTTTTATTAAGATGTCACTACCATTTCATGGCGTTATTTACGTTCTCTTTGCTGTCATTTTAAGCCAACTTAAACCAACCACGTCCGATTAGATCGATGTATTGTAAGTTTTGTGAATTTCACAGCGCGCAACTATTAAAAAGTGTCATCGTCAGCCGGCTACATTTGTGCTAAAAACTGCTCATCTCGCAGCACCAAATGTTACATTAAAGCGGTCAATGTTTGCTTAATGTACAGTTCTTTCTCCATGACTTGCAAGTGATTTGGTACTAGTGTTGGGGTCGGTTCGTATTTAAGAATTGCATTTGCCGATATTTTATTTCCTCGTTGTTCTTGTTGAATCAAACGTGGACATAATTTCGCAGTAATTAATGCCTTTGAGCACCAGCACGCGATATAACCCGAAATTAACGCGAGGCTCAATAATTCCAAAACACCTCCGTGTTGTAGAACGACAGTTTTGTGAGACCAACTGACGTATTTTGCCAACACCTGTCACACGTGACGTTATGATTTTATGTTATTTATTGCAGATGCCCTTAGTTACGCTCCTCCCTTTGCCTCATCCAGCACATTTCTTTTTTGGCAAATGATTTCCCCGTTTTCACGTGATTCTACACTGTAGCCTGTTTCCTATTTGCGACATCTTATTTTGTCAGAGGCAACCGAGGTCACGTGTTGACGTAGACACACACAAGAGTAGTGTTTAGCAGTATTCATCTTTTCGTAGTTAAAATCAAAACTCACTCTGTTTTCTGGCCCGAATACTCGTCGCCAGCTAGTTGGCGATTCTTCCAACAAATTTACTTGTTTGTTTCGTTTTGCTTTGTTTAATGCACGTCCTGCCTCTAAGGAAACTCCAGTGCTGAGTTATGCTACCGCTTATGAATTCTTACTTCAAATCTGGTCCCAAGGAGGCGTCATCTCTAAAGAGTCGCCGAGCCACGTAGGTACCTGAAGTGCTTGATCGGTAGACCTTTTTGAGTCAGCTAACTCTGATCCTTAATTGTTGCGTTTCAATCAGACCCTGTCTTCGAACGGAGACAGTTGTTTGGTTCTGCAAATCACTCACGTGTGCTTTGCAGGCAGGCAGGCAAGCAAGTATGCCGACACAATGTGTTTCTAGTGTGAAAAACAACAGCAGTTGTTCCTTTGCTAACTGGCCAGCCCTCTTCTGCGGTCACCCGGCATCCGGTACATTTTTGCCGAGTTGGCGCAGTCACTGGTCAGCGCGTGTCAGGATGACCAGCAAGGCGATAAATTTGGCGCTGGCGTGTGAAGGAGTGTTTGTGGGAGAACGCTTTGTCACGAGGTCATTCCTCGTTTGCTCCTTCTGCTCATTCTACGCTCACAATTTGTGGCCTCTTTGTGTTGCTGTGGCAACCCCAAAATCCAATGAAGTTGTGAAGTACTGGATTTTGGAAGTATTTGCGAGTCACGAGGGCTAAAATTCTAAAAAGCCTTTCTATTCTCGTTGGGTGGCACATTTCGTGAAGCCAGTCCCTACTACCCCTGTGACATGCCTTGCCAATTCTTGGTACCTTCGAAGTCAACATTGTCAATTCCCCGTGCCTTCATTTTCTCGGCCACAAGTCTAAATTAATCAATAAAAACTGTTCCCAATTGCCTGTTAAACGTCGCTAAACCTCTCCTCTCATTCGGACCAATCGTTGTGCGATCTGATTTGAAAATACTGCCCGTTGGGTTCTGGTTTCAAAGAATGTACAGGAAATGTGCGTGAGGCATTTGAGATAGCCTGGATCGTGGGTGTGTCTGCTGCTTACTTTCGTTGAAATCATCCAAACTGGAATGCCTTGTGTATGGACGGTGTTATTGAGATGGCATTGTGGATGCTGGGGGATTGATAACTTCCCGTCCACGAAGTTGACACCAGGTTACCGAAATTTCTAGAGTTGTTTCAAATTGCCATCGATTCCCAGCTTAGCCTATAATTGTCTGCGCCCCTGCTAACTCCTAATGTTGCCCGACTATGGGCACAGACCTATCAGGAATCATGAGTCCATGACAATGATCTTAGTGATCAAGGAAACAATTGAACTTTCATCAATTTTGGGCTTCGTATTTATTCATCATCACTTAACGAAAACAGGCATTTCCTTCTCCATATTCGACGGAATTCACGCGCTACCTCAGCGCAGTGAAAAGTGATTTTGATGTTGAAAAAGTCATAGTTCAAAAAAGCAATTTATTTGCCGCAAAATTACTTCCTGTTGTACTTCCTCAATGCCTTTTTCTGAGACTTTTTCCTACCATCAACTGCCCTTGGTCGAGTAGCTTGTATTGAAGAGTAATGTTCTCTTGCACGGAAGACCATTTAGTCAGGATTTTCCGATTCGTTCGAGGATCGGCTACGACTCGCTTACGTTCGGACTGTCCTGGCTAACCGCCAACTCACGACCATTTGGCTTGGCTGGCGCGCACTTTATTGTGTCATGCGGCACACCTGTCGACGTAGGTCTGACTATATCGCAAATTCTTTGTCCGGCCCGTAGCAGGCGCCTTGTATGCCTGTTTTTTTGTCTGTTTACTTTTTCTCCATTTTGAATGCTCGAGGTAGCTGCCAACTGCTTACTTTAAGTCTCTAAAAGTCAATATTTATCAACACCCGCCACCCGAATTGGCGCGCCAATGATCTGTCGACTAATTTGTGCCACGGCTAAAGTAGATGCAATGTCTAAATAAGTGTGTGAGATCTAGACCCTTCAAAAAGCAGCCATAGTGGTCCAGACCATTTGGGAAACGAAACGCAGCGTGTTGAGAGGGGGAGACTACGTACCCTGGTGTGTTTCACCTCAGTTACACCCACGGGCTCCTGTAGGCACGACGGTTTAGTCTTGTGCGTCCTGCTGGTCCTTGTAGGTGACGGAGAGCGATGTGTTTGTGCCACTGGCAATGGGCTTGTGTCTGGGCATCCTCCACGCGCAGATAACCTCGCACACCCCTCACCAGTACTCGGGTACTTCGGGGGTAAAGTCTGTTCCCCCGCAGACCGCTACCCCCGTCTCCGACTTCGCAGCAGAGGCGCCAACTTCAGCCACCATCTCGACGCAATTCAGTGCTCCAAAGGCCGCTAACTCGAGCCCACAGCTTCGTCAGATGAAGGACTGTGTCTCAGTCAAGTCCTCCAAACGACCTAGACGGAAGCTCAGAAATTCCCCTCCTCCCAGTCCCGTTTCAGACGATGGCGCCAACAATTCAGATGTCTTCGACAATGCAGAGTAAGTACAAGTGCCATTTGATCTCGAGATTGGGTCTCAGTGTGCTACGTCGTCGTCACCTGTGAGTTGCCTCATTCGAAAGTAGCTACCAAAGTCTGGCGGGAAGGGACTGCTGCACCTTTCGTTGCTTCGTCTTGAACGAACCTCCCTGCAGGTCTAAAACAGGTTCATGAAATCTGCAATCCTCTCCTTTCCCAACCTATTTGTGCATTCTCCCTTATCCCCGCCATGCCGGTTAAAAGATTATGCCAAATGCCTGTCGCGCGGCGTGACTCAGCTAGTTTATTGGTCCAGCGCAAAACTTCGAGTAAACCGCCATCCAAAAATACCTCCGACTTAGTCCAAACACAGCTGCTTCACCCGCGAATTTCCTACTTCCCATGACTACGCTACGATTCTACAATTCCCCTCCCAACGTTTACGCTTCTGTAGATTGTTTCATTGAGCTTAAAATTACAATTAAATTTGACACATTTTTGCTGTGCTTTGTGGTTTTAAAAGGATTGGAGACAAGGCTCCACAACACCGAAAGACAAGTCTGCGTAAGTTATACAACCTTTCAAAATATCAGAGTTTACTATGGCAACTGGTAAACAGCGCATTCGATGGCGCTGCATTTTATACGAACTCCAACAAGGAAAAACGCCGCTACGACACGTCAGCCAGTTTGTAGTGTTCGTGGTGCCGACGTTGTGTAGCTTATGAAACGAGTAATTATTGGTACAAACGTTTTGGAGGTGGTGATTTCAATCTTGCTGACCAGATCGAGACCCAGACAGCAGCCTCGAAAGTTTGAAGATGTGGATGAAGACTCAACGAAACAGCAGCAAGCGCTTCCAGCTCAGTTCGGAGTCACCCAAACAGCTATTTGTTAGCATCTGCACCACCAAATGGGAAAAATTCATAAACCTGGAAGTTGGGTCTCCACACATGTGCTAACCGGACACAACCCAGACCAGCGTTGGTCGACGTATGATCACATGACTTTTAACTGGTTATCCACAGTCAACAGGAACTGACTTCTTGT